CTCTCTCCCTCTCTCTCCCTCTCTCCCTGTCCTCTCTCTCCGCTCTCTCTCCCCTCTATCCTCTCTCTCCGCTCTCTCTCCTCTCTCTCCTCTCTCTCCGCTCTCTTCTCTCTCTCTTCTCTCTCCGCTCTCTCTCCTCTATCTCTTCTCTCGTCGCAATCAGTATTCACACAAATGTGAGATTCCTACGTATCTCAACACGTCTTTCTTGCCTTTCTTTTATTATCATAGATATTAAAATCATAGTTTTTTTTAAAATTGTGGTTATTTGGTATAGTGGTTGCAATGTGTCGTGCTCTTTTGATGAAACATACGTTTTAAGTATTTTTCTCAAGAAACATCCCGCGAACCGAAGCAATGGGCCGTTGCTCACGTCCAAGTACTTCGAGGATTCGAAACATGAGCTGCTGCACCCGTTGTGAATTCGGTTCAATGCTATCAATGATTCGGTGCTCTGTCATAGATCACGCATTTAGGCGTCAATATATGTACAGTTGGACCCGTTTTCTATTAGTTTGGATAGAAGCAGTGGGCCTGAACTGTCTCAGGTCGTACATCATCGATGGGTTGATTTTGACGTGATATAGGAACCGTTCTGCATTAGGTTCAGGAGATGGGTTCGTGCTCTGTCACAGTGTCGATGCATCGAGACGTCCATGCATGTGCAGCCGGACCCGTTCTCTATTAGGTTGTGTGGAAGCAATGGGCCTGATCTCTGTCTCAGGTCGTACATCATCGATGGGTTGATTCACGTGATATAGGAACCGTTCTGTATTAGATTCAGGATAAGCAATGTGTTCATGCTCCCTCATAGTGTCGATGCATCGAGGTGACGATGCATGTGCTGCCGAACCTGTTCTTTATTAGGTTGTGTGGAAACAATGGGCCTATTATCTGTCTGAGGTCGCACATCAACGAGGCGTTGATGCACGTGCGGCTGGATCCATTATACAGGAGAAGCAATGCGTCTGAGCACTCACACAGGTGTAAAGGCATCGAAACGTCCTACCGGACCTGTTCTCCATTAGTTTGGAGTGAAGTAATGAGGGAGTTGTCTGTCTCAGGTTGTACATCAACGAGGTGTTGCTGGACCCGTTATCTATACAGGCGAAGCAATGAGTCAGTTGTCTGACACAGGTGTTAAGGCATCGAGACGTCCGTGCATGTGCAGCCGAACCTGTTTTCTATTAGGTTGTGTGGAAGCAAGGGGCCTGTTGTCTGTGTCAGGTCGCACATCATCGAGGCGTCGATGCACGTGCTGCTGGTGCAGCGGCGCGTGACGGCCGAGGGCGAGCTGCTGGACCCGTTCCGCACGGCGCTGCGCGTGGAGGGGCCGCGGGGCTCGGGGCGGGGCCGCTCGGGCTTCTTCCTGCTGTGGCCCGAGACGGTGACGCACGTGCTGGACAAGCGGTCGCCGCTCTACGACATGTCGTTCGACGACCTGGCGCGCGCGCGCTTCGAGGTGGTGGTGATGCTGGAGGGCACCATCGAGTCCACGGACCAGCGCATCCAGGCGCGCTGCTCCTACCTGCCCGAGGAGATCCTCTGGGGCCACCGCTTCGAGCAGCTCATGCACTTCAACCACGCCGTGCAGAACTTCGAGGTGGACTACAGTCTGCTCAATGCCACTTATCAGGTCAGTGCCGGTCGGCTCGCGGCTTCCATGGGCCAGATTATCACTCGAACGATGGCGAAATATGGCGAACGATTTCCGAGATTTGGTGAACACACGCATGCGAAGAACGGCTTAGCTACTCTACGCAAGCGCTTTTGCTAAAACTCAGAAATCGTGCATCAAAAGGAAGTGTGAAAACCGGGACTCATGGGTAATTTAGGACACTAGCGGTACTTAATTAATCGTGTCCTTGAGTGTGCAAATATATTCCAAGTAGTGAGCTTGTTTATAGAATATGGACCTAGATATATGGGAGACGAATAGTCTTAGACTATTCAGACAACTTCTCTATCATCTCCTTAATTGTGATTGTCAGCATGACGCCAATCGTCTCCATGTACACTGTAAATGTCGCAATGTATCTATAGAAACGATTACAACGCTGCGTAGGACGCTTTGTCTCCCAGACCACCTCGGCTAATGACTCGGACAGCGAAGGATCAATGCAGCAAAAGAAGTGTGAAGTCGAAGGAAAATATGAATTAATCTGAAGAAAAAAACCAAAGAAGACATTTCTGTTCACTGCAACGCCTATATATAACAAGCCTTCGCTTTCCGCTCGCAATCGCCGTCCCCCAAATCCTTTCCAGGTACTCGGGAGCTTATTTACTGAAACTTTGACACATATACACGAGTAGGAAAATTACCGTCCAGTATTAATTTTTTGTACTTCTATTGGTTCGTTTTGACGACCCTTATTTTTTTCCTGGAAGACGTGCTCGCACGTTTCCCGGTGGTCTCTAGAAGTGTGGGGTGTGTTTTCATTCAAATAA